GTTTTCAAACCCGATGCAATTCTGGCAGAGTCAATTCAATTTTTCCGTGTGGTGTGCGACAACAGGGTGCGGCGTGACGTGGAACAACACTCGTCGTGATCCGCTGAGTCGGTCTGTGTTCCTTTTTTCACGTGTACTACCAGATCATACGCATCCTCAAAGAAATCAGCACCCCGATTCCGCAGGACAAGGCATGGAACGCGGTAAACAATCCTTATGATCCACGTGCGTATGAACGCATATGCGATGAATTCGAACTAAGTCCGAAGACGGTCGATTGGCGTTTGCCTGGAGTGAATCACAGTTTGGGTATTCCAATCGTTCACAATATGCCCCTCGTAGAAGCCAGTGAGAAGTTGAAAGAATGGGGTGGTAAAACGTATGTGAATGCTTGCGTCACGAGTAACGAGTGGAGAGACGATCTCATGGCTTTTGATGACAGCAAGGATTACTGCGTTTGGAGCTTTCAGCAGGGACCTGTAGACAATTGGAAAATGTTTATGCTGGATACGTCGAAGGGGTTTTCTCGCGCGGGTACCATACGGTTGAACGATTCGATTCGAACGTACGTGTGGGCCGTGCTGGGTGCGCAGGCGCAAACACGATCCAGTATCGTGGGTAAAGGGATGGCTTACAATGTGCAGAAACAGTTCGTGGTCAACGTCGAGGATGTCATCGCGTCTACGGTCGATCTGCCAAAAGGCATCAGATGCTATGAAAAAGTGCTGGAATACGCCCGGTCGAAAGTCGACTACATGTTCGGCGCGGGACTCTACATGGCTCTGAGCGACAGGCAACTGAGGGTGAAGAGAGTGGTGGGCTACAACAACGAAATCGTCATCGCCACCGGCGATCAAAAGTTCAATAACGCGAGTTGAGTCGCACTGCAGTACGAAACAGGCATCGTGGGATCGCCACCGGAAGTAGAACCACCACCACCACCACCACCACCACCACCACGATGGCAGCAACATTCTCCGCACGTGCAAGCAAAGAATCAGCGGCACGTCGATCGCAAAACAGCTCTGGTGGTCGGCGGGATCGCGGTCGGACTGTTTCTCATTTAGTTTAAAAATTCCTTATCGGCGATGTACACCAGACCCACCACGGCGACGACGAAAGCCCATAGGTTTCCCTACGCAAAGACGAAGCGTGATCGTCAGCACATTGATGCAAAGAGTAGCCCACACGCTGTCGAGCAAACTGGGGACAGCATGGGATTGCAGATGGTGTCGGAATTCGACAGCGTGGTAGACCTCAGCGAACAGCCGTCAGCGCATGGTGTCGTCGAAGTCGTGAAAGGGATCAAACTCGGCTGGGCCAAACAACAACAATACCGAGTTTGTTCCGTTTACGTGCGGGCGAACGTTAACGCCTACACCAGTCTGCAGGGAGTCACTGTGAACACCAAAATTTTCTACTCGACAACACACATATCATGGGTGTGAACTGCACGTCCGAGGAATTATCCCATAACCAATTGAAATCGATTTCTTAATTTGTATAAAACGATGAACAACCAGCATCCCACCATAACGCTAGCCGATCTCGGGGACACGTGGGGATTCGATCTGCCCGGCGAGGAAAACTTCAAACAACCCGACTGGTTGATCAGCATGATCATCACCTCACCCCACATAGCTTTTAAAATCAATGGTTACGTCTCCAAAATTACGAACAACGGGATCCTTCTCACATTTTTCACTCCTGAGTTTGATATACAAGTTTTACGAATAACAGATCACACGGGCAACATGTTAGCTTCAAACGTGGCTACATATTTACGGTTCGACATACCTGATTACCAATGTGAATTTTTTATTCAAATGTGCCTATCAAATCAGACACAGCGCTCGCAATAGAAGTATATCTCGCAGACGCTCGATCAGAACAACAATTTTTGGCTGGGTTGACAATACGCTGGTTGGACAGACGGTGTCATATCGTCATAAGACCGGGATCAACACCCTTAGTAAGCCTCGATGGAGTGCGTGTTGTAGAAAATAATTTGATTCGTGTCTCGAATATTTACATGTATGTGTAATCTAAACCTTATCGGCCACAAATACATCGATAGGACATTAACGGAAAACCAATTAAATATTATCTTATAAAAATCATATGTATATATAAATATATACAGGATGAGGCTGTATCCGGTCGTGGATGAAGTAGCAAAAACACTGGAAACCGTAGACGGGCTTCGTTTGCAACAGTTATGCGAGATCAAACAACAACTAGAACGTGAACGCGATACACGGTCTGCATTACAGAAAAAATATCACAGGGCTGTTCATTCCGTGGACGGTGTTGACACCGCCCTGATTGAAACCAGCATGCGATTAGGCGCGGCAGGTGTCGGGTTGTTGTAGGGAACACCTCAGGATAGTGTAATCAGCCCAACCTTATTTAATGTTATGATTAATGACCTGTCTGAGAATATCAATGTACTGGTCGAAACATCACAGTTTGCAGATGATGGAGCATTGAGGAAACGGTCCAGTAATTTTGACACTGTCTATGATGGCATTCAACAATCTCTCCATCTTGTACAGGCTTGGTGTGTCCATTGGGGTTTTAAGATTTCAGCTTCTAAATCGTCTGCAATCATTTTTACTCGGAAGAAGATTCCTCATAATTCAAAACTGGTTTTGTGTGGTTCTCATTTGAAGTTCGTGGATAAAGTCAATTTTTTGGTACTCTGGTTTGATAAGAAGCTTACCTGGAAACCTCATATAGACTATTTGATTCAGAAATGCACTAAAGTCTTGAACCTTCTGAGAAGTATTTCCAGTACCAAATGGGGTGCAGACAGGAAGTGTTTATTACTGTTATATCGTGCCCTCATTAGATCAAGACTTGATTTCTGCTGTCAAACCTATGGATCTGCATGTGCTACACAAAAGGCAAGACTAGATGTTGTTCAGTCAAAAGCCCTACAAATTTGCCTTGGATCATTCAGAACTACCCCTGTTGAGGCTCTACATGTTGAATCCGGTGAAATGCCTTTAGATCTCAGACGTGAACTGTTAGAAGGTAGGTACATGCTAAAATTGAAATCTTTTGTAATGAAACACCCTACTTTAGCTGTATTGGGAGATTGTGTTGAGTATTTCCTAGATCCTTGGAAAGGCGGTATGGGGCCTTATGGGATGCGTTCTCAGAGAACAGCTTTCCATCATAATGTACGTGATGTTGCCATAGCTGATGTTAGTGTTCAGTCAAAGAAGCCACCATGGTTGCTTGAACTTCCATCAGTTTATCTTGATGTCCTGGAACAAGCAAATAAATCTGAGCCGGCACATCGTGTTAAAGCTCTTGCCGGGGAACATATCCGAAGTTTACAGTGGATCAATGCTATGCAGATTTACACTGAAGTGCCCAGTGTCCGGTCGTGCTGGTGCAGGTATCTTCATAGCCACTGAGAGAGAAATTTCTATACGATTAGCTGATTATCTGTATTCTCTGCTGAACTTGCAGCAATCATTAATGCTTTGCGTTGGATTCATTTTTGAGACCTGTATCAGTGGTAATTTTCAGTGATTCTGTCAGTTCTTTGCAAGCACTTCGGACAGGTGTCTCCTCAGCAAGACAAGACTTGATCAATATTATACTCGACCTTTTTAATGAATTAAGTAAAGATCTTTTAGATGTTGAATTTTCATGGATACCTGCTCATGTTGGAATATTTGGAAATGAAAAAGCTGATCAGTTGGCAAAAGCTGCATTAGATTTTGATGTCCCAGAACAGGATGAGACAATATTTCCCTCTCCTGCAGAATTATGCACCGTCTGTAAGATCCATGCTCAAGCGAAATGGCAACAGAGGTGGACCTCATCCTTAAAAGTACGCCATCTTTGTGGCATCGAGCCTTTTGTACCTAAAGCAAAATTATCCAGAAGCAATCGCAGAGAAGAGGTTCTTTTAACCAGACTTCGTCTTGGGCATTGTGGTCTTGGTGCATATCTAAACATTATTAATAATTATATTCCTGAACATTGCACAGTGTGTAATCAGCTAGATGATGTGGCTCATTTTGTACTGCATTGCCAAAAATATGTAACTCAACGTAAGGCGATGGTTGAATCTTTGACAGCGCTTAATATTGACATCTTTTTGACTGGACTGTTGTGTTCAAGTAATATCACTTTCAATGGTGTTCAGAATGTCATTCTTGCTTACATTAAAGCGTGTGGCAGCTTAACTACTTTATATAAATGCAGAAACTTAGCAAACCATTATGATGGGCAAGGTGTACATGGGCCCAGTTGCTCGAACACCTATTAAACTTTCAATTATCTATCTATCTATCGAACCCAAGGCCTAATGTATGCTGTGGAGGTGAATACACGCCTGTTGCCAGGTATGGCACGGGCTGTAAGTGAGTGAGTGAGTATGGTTTTACGCCGCTTTTAGCAATATTCCAGCAATATCACGGCGGGGGACACCAGAAATGAGCTTCACACATTGCACGGGCTGTCAGGGTTACTGGACTGAACCTGTGTCGGAGGTCCGTGGTTCGAATCTGTTGTTCGAATACCTCTCCATCTGTCATTTTCCGTCAAGTGGCATATCGAATTTGTTCCAGAACGATTAATAGAGATACTGTTTTCTGATTTTTGCACTTCTGACGACTGGGTCTGGGTGTCAGGAATTTAAAAGTTAAGAATGTTGGTCATTTTTCTCCTCTATATCATGTTCATTACAAAGTTCATGGAATTCGAGAAACAACATCTACTCTCCGTTTCTTCGACAATTCTAACACACTCGTTCCACTCGTTGGTTCAAATCCAAATACTCATTCACAAGAAAACCTTTTACTAATGAAAACATCCCCTGTCACAATTTATTTTGCCTCTGAGTGTCAAATAGAAAAGCATGCTGACGTCAAGTTTGCACAACGCATGGTTGTTAGCCTCCGGCAGTTTTGAATGGTCCTATTCAAAGTTAGGAGTATCAACATTTCTGACATTGTATATAATATAATGTTCTATTATAGGTTATAACCAGCTCGGTACTTTCTGTGGCAACGAGAGACCTGTTATTAACAGCGGTGGGAACGCCTTGAGGGTTCGTCTACGGACTGATTCCTCGCAAATCTACAAAGGATTCAAAATGCTATACAAAGCTATACCGGGTGTGTATGCATTAGGCAACTAGATTTAACCTAAAGCTACAGCTATCCGGAAAGATAATATTTATTAACGTTCTGATCTGATGGTGAAATATATGTCTCATGTACATTGATTTACAACTTTGTATTTATCTCAGTTACGCACATGGCAATATGATATTCTGTAAATAGCATCAGTTTAATTCACCTCACGCAGTAACTTTGGTAGCAATACAAATTGAATTATGAAATAAATATATGTATTGCATATGTTTAACAAACGATAATATGCATGTCGATATATCATATCAGTGCCGTAGCAATTGACGTCACAAATAATTTTCCCGGAGGTTTGCGGTAATAACCCAATCATAGCATACAATGAAACTTCAGTGTGTCATGGTTGTGTGTATATGGCCAAAGGAATATCAAGCATGGGGAAATCTGTCGCCAAAGAAAGGACCGTAAGTTTGTGTTGAGCAATCTATCAAAGAAAATGCGAGATATAGTAATTTCAAAAGTAAACACACAGCTGTCAACTGTAAAACTGCTGTTTGAATGACCAAAACTAGGCACAAAACAAAATGTTACTTATTAAATGTTATTTCATACATCTTAGTTGTGTTGACAAATGTGTCATGGGCATGTCTTTACGAAGACATGATGAGACATGATGGCAGCTCCAAACTTCCAATGTTATCGTTCTCTAAATGCGAATACATACTGTCATGTTAATACTGCGTCAGTTTGTGCATTCAGATAAGTAATAACAGATCTGTGTCTTTGGCATTGATGCCTCGGCTCCATGCAGCACTTGATTCGTTTTGCGTAACAACTATGGTTGCCATTAGCTCTCAGTTTAGACATATAATTTGGATATATTATTTCTGTATGAATCTGTTTGTAAAACTGTAAACGGGATTAGTTAAATTTATTCATTATGAAGTTTCGGTAACAGATCTCTGGACAAAATGGTGAAGTGAGGACAAATATCTTTAGAATAAGCCAATATTTCAAGGAACATATATTTTATGAATACTGTTGACTCCAATGTTAACTAAGGTCAACATTGCTGACAGTAATGTCCCAGCCGGTCAGCCCAAAACCGTTTTCACTATTTTTTTGCATGGAAGATTATACTAATAAAACATTGCCCAAACTTGATTTCTTTAGTATTTATCAGATACGCCCCTGGAGAGTTTAAACATTGTTTGTCAAAATTGTCTGGGTCCATAACAAACATACTACCACCACAACCAAATCCTTCATCCCTCCATCCTTGACAACCAGCCACACACACAAAAGCACGTGCGAATGCACGAACACACACACGCACACACGAACGCCATGTCCTTGGTACAACAACAAATCCTTGGTACAACAACAAAAACAAATTGTACAATTGCTACTCTTCTTCATTATCAGCAACAACGTGCAACGTCACGCTTTCCGCAGTTTACAGTCCAATGGTGATTGTCTCCCCTGGCTATCCAAGCAACTACGTAAAGTAAGTAAAGAGTTACAATAATCTGATGTAAAGGAATGAATCATTCAAAACCCGTTTACTTGGATATAATTCGTCAGATCAAAAGATGTTTACACATGTAGATATATACTCTTCGCCTTGATAATAATGTCACCAAATGTAAATATGCTTGTATCACGTGTAACCAATATGGATGAGGCTTGTGTTTTTGTTTCGGAACCTTTCTTTTTCTTCCTTGCAGTGGATTGGACTGTCAGTGGACTATAAATGCACCGATAGGAAGCAATATCACGGTGAAAGTTTTGTTTCTTGATTTGGAAAAGGTGGCATCGTGCGTGAATGATTATCTACTGTTTAAAGATGGTAAGTAAAGTTTGGGACGCATGTTAACGTTGTGTTCCTCTTAGAATTGAGTGAAGCAGTTCTTTGACATCCGTGTGGTACCAAGGAGAAAAAGAATGTAACCTTTATAATATTCATGATCACTGCTTACCTATACTCACCAAAAAACGACACACACAGATAATGATCTTATATGAAATTTCAAATATGTTTTTTTTTCAAAATTAGTTGTTGATTGTTATGATTTCGCCATTGTAATTCTGTGAAACGAATGCACAGCGCATTCTCATCTTCAAAAACATTAATGCATGTCTATGTTCAAAAGTGTCAACTTGCTTGAAAATGGCATGGATGAAGAGTGACATGCACGTGCCGTTTTCTGGAATAGTGAGCAGAGAGGTGGCCTATATAAGACTTCTGCTTTTAGACGGTCATTGGTAGTTTTAGTGAGTGAGTGAGGTTAAGATTTTAAGTCACATCGGCAGTATTGCAGCCATATCGTGACTAAATCAAGTTATACATATATTAATAATTAAAGGTAAATTATAATATGCTGTCTACGAAAGACAGAAAAAACCTAGATAATCACAGATATAAATTTAAAAATAGTAATTAAATCTAAAATATTTTAACTATATGTTGACAATAGACGGTCATTGGTATTTTTAGTGAGTGAGTGAGTTAAGATTTTAAGTCACATCGGCAATATTTCAGTCATGTCGTGACAAAATCAAGGTATAGCTTAAAAATAATTATTGGTAAATTTTTAAAACCTGTCAACGAAGGGCAGTAAAACAACTAGAATATCACAGATATAAATTTAAAACTAGTGGTACAATCTAAAACATTTTTACTTTTACTATAGATGACAAGACAACATAAAAACAGGTTATAGATCGCTAACAACTGAAGGTTGATCACCATACAAGGGACCATGGGGACTGTTGCTACCTGCATGGACGGATTGGGCCAAAATTCCAAAAGGTCGAATTCAAAGACTTAATCAGTCCATGCCGAGACAGTGCAGAGCAGTTTTCGGGGCTCTTGGTGGTCACAATAAATATTTAAGACAACGCCCTAATGGGAACAGACACCTTCACTGAATGTAATGCATGTCAACATACATTTGAGCTTTTACACTGTGAAAATTGGCTGCAACACATCCAGAATTACATGTGCTATTTCACTTTAAAGGTAGCAGAATTCGTGAAACTACACCATAAGTTTCTTTTTTGGTATATATATTTTTGACATGTTGTAAGAGCTTAATGGAAATGTATCTTCCCGAATATGGGTTTCAATGAGATCGGAAGACTATCTCATGACATTTTCCCTATGAGTGTGCCTGACTGAGACAGTATGGCACTCGATAATGTCCTAGATACCCGGCGGCTACATTATTAACAATCAACCAGGAAATATAACTAATTCAGGGATCAATATTGTCTGCACCTGTTGTGTATGATGATACGCAATTACCCAGCTTGTTTGTAACAGAGAGATAACATTTCAAACCTGTGTCAATCAAATAATAACATCTTCCTGTTAAATCTTGCTAATTTTTTAAACATGTATTTGAATTTATTTAATTATTTAAATCATGTAATCGTGACAGGTTCGTGTTATCAACTATAACTGACGATGATGGTATAGTGTTTGACAAAGTGTTGTATGTCTAACAGTAATCATAACTGTGTCATTTTTTTATATTTATAACATACGGCTGCCTTGGAAAAATACTGTTCCCTGCGTATATCGTCAGTATCTGTTTACCGTTACTGTTCTATCGAACCTTGGTAAAGAATACTTCACTTAGGTATTTTCATATTCGAAAGAATGTTGATTGATTGCATACTGAAGACATCGAATAAATGTACAAAGAAAACTACATTCATTAATGTATGAAAGATGCACAGTTAATGCATTTACATTTAAGGTACGACGAACGATGCTCGCCAACTGGCAAAGATTTGTGAGTTTACATCTACTCCCATCGTCAGCTCCAGTAACCATATGACCATCATGTTTCGCTCAGACAGTTCTATCACAGGAGGAGGCTTTCGTTTGCAGTACTCATCTGGTAATAATCACAGCGACTGTGGATTATCAGATCTCTCCGCATCTTCTGTCACGTGGAAGAACCTGACTTCTCCTGGCTATCCTTCGAACTATTACAAGTAGGTGCCTACTCTCTTGACAAGTGAAAAAGTAAACCACTTAGTTAATATTAGCAAATAGCACGTGGTAAATAGCACTATACACGTGACCGGTACGCAAAACCCCACGCGTGTCAACGATTTAGCACTGTAAACGTGACTTTGATGCTAGCACTAAACACGAGACAAGTAACTGTGACTACGCCAGTGACTTGTAAATAACTTATATATCACATGTATGGTTGTATGATGTCTTTTGATGAACTGAAAAGTATTTGAATGGGTTATTGTTGTATATAAACACTACATAAATACCCGGATTATTGTACATTTCAAGATTATACACTTGAACAAATTACTTGTTTATATACCTTTGCATAATACCAATTTATGTATACAAATTCTGTTTTCAGCAATGTAAACTGCGAGTGGAAAATTAGGGCACCATATGGCTATGAAATTAAAGTTGAAATTATATATTTGTCGTTGGAATATTCCTCATCTTGTTCGAGTGACTATCTTGTCTTCAAGGACGGTAAGTACATGGTACAAACGTATAGAGGTTCCTCAGAACAAAATACTCGCAGTGCGCTTTGTACTCTATTGATTACTTTTGAGACAATTCATAAATTATTTAGTTTGATCATAAATCCAAAAATATGCGAACGACCATTGAATCACATTAAGCGGTTCTCTATACAATTGGTTTTGTTATTTGTAAGAACTTGGGACTTGATGGGTGATGATTGGCACATAATGTATTTCATCACAGTTACTCTAAATACGTTCTATTAGCATCAGCCTCATTTGAATACTAACATACATATGTATATGCGTCAGAACCAATGCCATTAACTGACTAAGTATCTTTTCTCAAGGTTCATCGTCTTGGTCACCTCAGTTGGGTAAATACTGCGGTGTTTACTACAACAAACAACTTGTCAGCTCGCGCCACTACATGACCATCGCCTTCCACACCGATGGCTCTATCACGCAACAAGGTTATAAACTGAAGTACAAAGCTGAAATATTCCCTTCAACAACAACAACAACCACAGGTACAATAAATGTGTTTTTGCGATTAAGCAGTTGTGTGTACAAAGACTGGAATGTGTGGGGAACTGGGGCTGGGGCTGGGGCTGGGGCTGGTGGAGCTGCCATTAGTTGTTCGGGGTATTCAATGTTGCTTGGGGATGGCATTGACAATAGAGACATAATATTTACTTGATCTCTTGTTCAGGCAACGTGGGGAAAATCACGTTATACACTTCAATCAAAAATGTATCTTGTATGATAAGTCCTATCTATTTCTGTAATACTGTAAAAGTTTACATACTGTATGCGGTTATTTGCCTTCTCTGCTACAACCTACTCTCTCGTTTGTAATTCTGTAGGCACGAACCTAATGTCAACACTATCGTGACTTAAATATTCATTGCTTCCAATTTCTATTTAAACAGAGAGACCGCATGGTTCTAATTGCGGTACCACATTGCTCAGCGCCACCAAATACTCCTGGAGGTCTTTGTCATCCCCTGGGTACCCATACAGCAACTACAACAAGTAAGTAGATATAAACATCATCTTTGTTGATAACTCGTTGTGATTATTGGCATTTTAAACAGTGATTCCTTCGATACGAAAATGCACTGTCTTGACCCTGCCTCTCTTCCCCCCACCCCACCCCCACCCCTTCCCGAAATCACTTACTTTTTGCACGAAGACAACACTATGCGCATATCCTTAATCATCAGATTTGATATTCTTTATCACTAGGCTTTATGTTTTGAATCTTGCCAAATTCAGTGTGTTGGGATTATGGATAATTATCAGGAAGAACAAAGCTAATATTGATTGAGAGTGATGGGGTCAAAAGCATCTTGGAATTGCTGAACCTATGTTCATAAGCAATGTTTTGCATGTTGTTTTGTAACCTAATTGACTTGCTGTCCGTTGTTATATTTCATATAATCTAATCATCTCTTCTTCACAGCAATATATACTGCGAGTGGACAATCTCTGCACCTTCTGGATATCACGTAAAGGTTGAAGTTCAGACTATTTCTGTGGAATACGACGCATTCTGTTCTAAAGACTACCTGCTCTTCAGAGATGGTAAGTACAATGTTTCTTTTAACAAAAGTACTTAAAGATACTTTTAGTCATATTTTTCTTCAGATTGAATTTGTTTGCAGTTACCACTGGTCAATGATTAGCATTCTCAGAATGAAGTTGGCTTCAGTGTTTCTACCATGCGTATCTCTTTTAACCGACAACACAACGATTCTTTGTATTTTTCAAGGTTCCTCATCTTACGCCACTCGGTTGGGTAAATACTGTAGTGACGTCGACGACTACATCGTCAGTTCCCGCAACGCCATGACCATCACGTTCCGCACTGACAGTTCTATCACAGACAAAGGATTTTCTCTGAAATACACTGCGCGGACGCAAGGTGCTGAATTTTATATCAATTTGCGGGCGTTTCTTCTTTCATGAACTAACGTATTTAAACATATATTTTGCCAACATTGTTTTCATTTTCAAATCATTTGAAGGGAAACCCCTATAAAACAAAACCCTTATGTAAATATGTATAAAAATGTTTGCCTCACTCACAGAAAAATAGTATATCTTGAGGTAAGCCTTCATATACGATTGCTGACATGAGTAAGTGAGTGAAGCCCATTTCTGTTGTTCCTTGCAGAGATATTGCTGAACTATTGCTAAAGGCGGCGTTAATAGATACTCACTCACTCACTCATCATCATCACAGAAACAGAACTGTTTAATATCACTGAGACACTTCCTTGTTTCAGTGTGTGGCGAAGATGATACGATAAGCTATGAGACAAAATATATTGAATCACCGAATTATCCTCTGTCCTATCCCGAGTAAGTATATGGGACACTTATAGTTCGATTCATATCTCGAAGAGCTGAAAGAAATACACAAACAATAATACCATTGATTGGACAACGAACAATACATGATACATTGTACCTTCCATCAAAAACAGTCGTATAGATTAAAGCAACTTCTTTGAGAGGCATTAGAGGTGAGGTAAGGATTTAACGTTGTGCTTGAGAATATATCGCTCATATGACGACGTGCATGCGTGTGTGTGTGTATGTGCGGCTGCTTGTACTATCCCAGACTTAAGCTGGTATTATAGTGTTAGCCCACTGAGATACCATGCCGCAGTGAAGCATGGATACCCCACTCAGACACATTATACTGACTCCGAGCCGACCAGTCCTTGTTTTACCCATTAATGCCGAGCGCCAGGCAGGGACCAACAAGTACCATATTCTAACGTCTTTTGGTATGACGCGATCGGGAATCGAACCCGCGACCTTCCGCTCTCCGGGCCGACGCTCTAACCACTACACCACAGAGGCGGTCGAGAGGCATTAGAAGTCGCAGCAGTAAATAGTATAACAATGAACAACTTCTTTGTTAATACAGAAGTTGTTCATACAAATATGTTTGTCCTTCCTTAAATTAACTCAGAGAGAAATTAATCAACAATTCAGAAGAAGGAATACACACTGTGACTTTCTATGATCAGGAGATTGTTAGATATTAATTCCCATGAGGATGGAAACTGAAAGTTTGTAGACAGTAAACCCTGTTGCATAAGCACGATGAGTTTATATGAGTTCTATGAAGCATATACAATTGCAATGCCTGACATGCGGAACTCATGGCTAATGCTAATGTTCATTTCAATTTTAGCAATGCGGATTGTGAGTGGACAATAAGCACATCCATTGACGGATATGTAATCCATGTGGACGTGGTGGATTTCAACATTGAGCACAACAGCGGGTGTTCCTATGATTATGTACAGCTCTATGATGGTAATGAATGCGTCTAATCATTGTTATCCTAGACATGGGTAAAGGAGACAGATGCCCAAAACGAATTTAAGCTCTGTTTTTTTCGCCAATGTAGAGAACGTCAGCGACCTGTGTCTTCTTGTTTTTCTCCAATTTTAAGCTAAGACGCTGACATTTACGCGGACATGACGTTCACGTTGACGTGGCACATAAGGCACACGTCTTGCTTAACAGCATCATTTGCATTCATCAGTGTGATCTGTCCGATTTCATCTATATTTTTTACGATAATTGTAGTTGATGTTATTGCATTTGAGTCACAGCAGATAGTACAGTAAAATAGTCATTTGGAATAAGTAAATGTCATCCCCAAATAAGAACAACTGAAAGAGTTCTTAAAGCAATGTATCTCCCAAGAAATGTTTATAACATTAGCTCGTGATTTGTTTAATTATCATTATCTTTTCACGTGTTATTTTCTCTCAATAGTCACGAGTTATGAAAGCTCGATCGGTACATGGTGTGGAACAAATGGACCAAATACACAGACTACAGGACAGACAATGAAGGTTAAATTCCATTCTGATGGTTCGACTTCCCGTACCGGATTTAAGTTGTCCTTTACTGCCGGCGAACCAACCTCTGACTGTACGTGTTTCAGTTTAATTCGTTCTTTTAGGAATGTATTGCATCGCTTACGAGAATATGATCCATCAATAGTCATCTCTGTTCGTTAACACTTTAATTGAAACATGCGGTATTGGGGAACGCCACACCATACTACTTATCCTGTAAAAGAACAGGTTGGTAAAACATGTACATAGCATATGTGTAGATAGATAAATAATATGTTGAGGGTGTGGTTGACAAGGGAGGTGGACGACCAGGGCACGATTTGTCAGGTTGACCAAACTGAGGTATATTCGCCCTTATCTTGTTTTCTGGACCAACGCTCGTTAGTCTTACATTGCATCAAGCTGATAAACTGACATGACTGATACAGCTTCAGAGCATGTGGGTAGCCTAGTTGTTACAGCGTTCGCTCATCACGCCGAAGGCTCGGGTTCGATTCCTCACAATGTGTGGAATCTACATCTGGTTTCCCACCTTGATATTGCTCGAATATTGCTAGCTAAAAGTGGCGTGCAAATCGTACTCAATCAAAGCAGCCTAAAAGCAATCAGACTGTTAAGTCACAGCTTCAGCTGGTTTAATTGTCGCTTCATCATAATTGTCCTTTGACCTATGTCAGTTCAGGGTGAAGTTGATCCAATGGTAATTGACACGATTGCGCTGGCTCAGCGTCATACAGGGCGGTGGGGTAGCCTAGTGGTTAAAGCGTTGGCTCGTCACGCCGAAGACCCGGGTTCGATTCCCCACATGGGCACAATGTGTTAAGCCCATTTCTGGTGTCCCCCGTCGTGATATTGCTGGAATATTGCTAAAAGCGGCGTAAAACTAAACTCAGTCAGTCAGTCAGTCAGCGTCATACAGTGACGTAAATTCGTATATTACGTCCCGTTTAAAACAAAACAGTTCCCATTTTGTACACTAGAACCTACCCCTTGACGTTATTAAACATTTACTGAAGTCTCAACAACAAGGGTTGCAAAGAGGGTTTGACATCTCTCTTTCTTTACGTCTGTAATGGAACGCAGTAGAGTTACAACAACACAATAATGTACGGGTTGTAATCATATCTATATGCCATTTTAGGGGATTAAGTAAGCTCTAAGAGAATGCAATATTTACAAAAGACCTTGAATTAGCCTGGATACTTTATGTTGTTTTGTTTTGTTTTATTATTTATTTGGTTATATTTTTTTTTCTTATTCAGTTTTCGTTTTTGTTGTTGTTTTGGGGGTTTGTTTTGTTTTACATTTGCTTTGTTTTCTTATTCAGCTGCTGCATCCACGAACATCGGAGCCATACTTGGAGGTGTATTTGGCGGGATCACAGCTGTGTGTATTGCAACCTGCTGCTGCTGTGGACTTTGTTTCAGAAAGAAATCCATTCCCAACGTCCAACAGCAGAGAAACAGACGCCGTGAAGCCATCGTCGCCTTCATCAATGTCCCCAGCAACCTGCAAACTCCGCCTACTGCTCCTACTGCTCCTACTGCTCTGCCATTCATGTTTCCACCACCTCCTTCTTACAATGATGTCGTGAAGGATGATCCCCCACCGTATTGTCAGGCAGTTCCACTATCAGACAT